GTGTGTGTGTGTGTGTGTGTGTGTGTGTGTGTGTGTGTGTGTGTGTGTGTGTGTACCACCGTGAAGTACTTCTTAAAAAATCTCTCAATAAATCCATTCATCGCTCCGAGGAGCTCAAAATGAGTTAAACAAAGTTCTGCACACTTTGGGAAACCATGATGATGTAATTTCAGAGAAGGTGAGTCGTTCTGCTGACGGTTTTATTTTGAGCTGCAGTTCAAATTACAGCTGAGTCATTCTTTAAAGTATTCAGACTGTGTGTTTCTACATGAAACAGTGCAGTTCAGTCACATTTGGGGAAGTTCAGTTACGTTTGCTTCAAGGACCTATTTTCTACTGGAACCCAGCAGGACCTTGTAGAATCATTCAGAGTCTAAAGGCCCTGTCACATTAGACAACTTATGAAACATTTTTTATGTCTAAATTGCTAATAAAAGTTATATATTTGATCAGTTTGTTAGAATTACATTATRTACACGCCAAAAAGAAGCTTCCTGTTGATTTTTTCAATTCCAGCTTCAACGTAGACGTCTTTAAAWTGTTAATAAGTTGGCATAAGTTGTCTAGTGTGACAGGGCCTTAAGCAAGTGTTGGCAAAGTTGGATAATGGAAAAATGTATTTGACAATAATGATATTTGGCTACAATATTTAGATATTATTCCTCTTTACTGTATGTTTGATGTCAGGAATAATATATATTTTAATGTCTTAATAAAAATTGAATGTTCTTTATTTTGCTAACTGATAATAAATGGATAGTTTTTTTAAWGTGTCTGATAAATAACTAATAAAACCAGGTTTAACATTTCTTACACTTTCTTTTTGAAGGTTTTGCACATTCTTATTTGTTCCTGAAAGATTTGTATGTAAATTTATTATTAGTAAGTACATGAAGTGGCATTTAACTACTTTTGGGGGTTGTTTTTCGGATGTTCCCCTAATGTGAAATAACTAGTACTTTTCCCAAAACAACCTGAGGCTGTGACCAGAAACTCAGTGTGACACTATCTCTGAAGTATGTTAAAGGTTGATTCAGTTAATGGTTCAAAGTACAGTGCAGCCAAAATGGGACAAAAACACATCTGTTACAACATCCAGCTTTTTTTTCTTACAGATGTAACCAGGAATGCAGGTTTTCTTTTTATGGGAAAAGGCTGTCGAACATGACAACTTGTAGTTTATTTACTTTTACTTTCACAACAAAGATTGGCGGCCATCTTTGTTGAGGTTTTGCAGAAGCAAAAACAAGCACATTAGCTGTAACGAGATCCAGAAACAAAAGAAGAGGGAGCAGGGGGTGGGGTGTGGGGRCTTGGAAAGTGTGCTGGGAACGAGTGCAGTCAGTTCCAGCTGGACCGCAGCCAGTTTTCTATTTTTGAGCTGGGTTCTAGAATGTCGAGGTTTACTAAAGTGCAAAACTAAAAAGTCTTCCTAACCTCAGCAGGTCGCTGTGTTTGATGCCATTCTCTTTACTCAGCATCTCTGCGAGGGCGAATCACAGAGCAGAGGGATGGGTAACACACCTCTGACATGCTCCAAACGCAAACAGTCCCCGTTCTCACTGCAACCTGAGAAGGTCAGTGTGTTTTCCCCCTGCATAAATAAGTGTTGCCAGATTAGATCACGGTTCAAAGTTTATTGTTTTAATAACTGCTTTAGCTTTTTGTGCAGCCTTTCTAATGAGCATGCGGTTAATGTGACAATGTGGTTTTCATTATTTGTACATTTGTGTGTGCATGTTGTGAAATGTACAAGATCGTGTCAAAGGAGAGTTTCTGCCACAGTTAGGGAAGACAATGAAGTTTATCTTATCTCATTTTAGCTAATGACAAAGAACAGCTTATAAATGTGGCTAACGCTGATCACAAAAGAAAATAAAATCCATTTTGAAGAGGAAACACGATTAGAAACAAACCTTTAAACCTCTACTGTTGCATTTTGTCAATAATTAGGATAAACTGACATAACAGAAAGATAAGTGTCAGTGAACGCATCATCAACTCACCCACAGAGGGTCCAGGCCACTGAGTCTGCAGAAGGCATCCATCCACTCTCTTTGCTCCTTCCTCCCCGCTGCTGTGCTTGTTGGGGTTGATCAGCCCTCCTCCTCCTCCTCCTCACACAGGGTCGCACACACACTCTGCACCAACACCAGAGTCTGAAAATGTGTCTGAAAGTGGAGGTGAAAGAGTAAACTTATAGCTCTCGCCCTCTCTGATGTTARTATGTTTGAGCAGATTTTCCTCGTCTGCCCCTCTGAGTTTTTAGTTTGTGTTTAAACACAGTGACTTTTCCTCTCTCTTAATAAAACATGTTCTCTGAGTGAAAATCTGTGTTTTTTTTCCTGACTCCCTGTTTGAACTGCTGCTGCCCTGAAGTCCTGTGTCTTTCTGACTCTCTGTCCGTTCTGCCTGCCGTTTATGAGTGTGACTCCTCTCTGGGAGGGTGGAAATATTTCTCTCTCTCCTTCTCTCTCTCTCTCTCTCTCTCTCTCTCTCTCTCTCTCTCTCTCTCTCTCGCTGGATTTTGATCAAAACACCGCAGGCAGCTACNCTCTCTCTCTCTCTCTCTCTCTCTTTCTCTCCCACATTTGCTGGATTTTGATCAAAACACCGCAGGCAGCTACTTCCCTCAATGGGATGACAGTCCCACACCCAGACACACTCCTCCCATTTGCCCTCACCTCCTTCTCCTTGCTCCTTCTTTCGCCCACTTTCCCCACATCCCCAACAGCCAGTTGTCTGGCCACAAAGTGTCTGGTTCAACATAGAAATACCTTTTAAACTGGGACGAGACACACTCCAGTAAACACTGCTTTTAAGATGTAATCTTAACACAAATCCAAGATTTTACCAACCAAAGACCAATCGTTTTGCATCTTAAAACTCACAAAATTGTCTTTATGATTAGCTTTTGCTGGAGCATAACTTATAATGCTTATAACACGCTTGTTTTGCACTTTTTACATTACAAGAGAGAATTCAGTTTATTGTAGTGTTTTGTTCGGAAATAAAAAGCCACACTCACAAAAAACCTTTGATTTAAACCACAGATTCCTGCATTTAATAGTGCATAGTAAAACAAAAAGTTAAATGGTTAAATAATTTGTTAACTAAAAATAGCTCTTTAACTGAATATTTGGGCAAGCATCACTTTGTTTTAGAGTTTTTTTCATATAAGCAGTTGATCAATTGACAGATGATTAATTAAATACCATATAAGGATAAAAATCAAAGAATTATTTYTAGTATTATGTATTTATACTTGTTAAACACATACATTTCAACACAAGACAAAATATTTTGACACTTACCAAAAAAAAAAAAAAATCCTGTCTACTTTTGTTACAAACACGTTTATTCTATCAGTCTATAATTATCAGGTCATGAGCATCTTGAATCTTGATGAATTGAACTGACAGAGACCAGTCATTGATGCAAAGCATCACATGTGTTTCCAGAGATTGCGCAACTTGCTGATATGGTAAGAAGAACAAGATATTTGGTTAATTAGTCATCCTATTGTGCTGAGACTTGCACAGTAAGTGGAAAATGGGAAGTCATTGCTCAGTTTTCTCTGAAAGCGTCTTTCCGAAAACGTTTCTAAATCTGTATTCACAATTGGGAAGCGAGAGACACTTAGTTGTTGTGTTGTGGAAGTAAAGTGAAAATCACGTTAGTTAAAAACAAATACTGTGACCTGCAATAAAAAGAGAACGCTATCCCTAAAATTCTTTGTAGTCTGCAAAAAACTCATCATCAAATGGCGTGATGCTGAAGATCCTGTCAGAACTCCGGGAAAAACCCTTCAGCTACGCAGGAAAGTGTGACACCGTCTGGACTGGAGCTAACAGCACGGTCACCGCAGAGAAGAAACATGGAAAGTTTGACAAAAAAGACTGACCACCACCGGGCCTTGTGTCTCGTCAGAAGAAAATATGGGATTAAAATATTTTTAAATGACTCRTCGTTACGTTTCTGCACTAGATAAGTTACTTCAGTTTATGCATTCTTGGGTTAAAACAAGTTATGTAACATGACCTAAAGCMCTTGAACTTTTAAAAATGTTTTCGTGCCACAGCCATAAGCTGGGATTTTATGTGGTAGACCACCAAAAGTAGTCATGGTGAAATGGAGGAAAACAGTGACTTTGACCAAAAGGAGACAGAACTGGAAGATGTTGATCTTCTCAGGAGTGACGAGGATGAGATTAGGAGTGAGATCATCAGAGGTGCAACACAGGTTGAACCACTGAAAGATAAAGTTAGAGACCTGGATGAAGATGGTCCAGACATGTCGAGAGGAGGGACAGTGGGTTTATTAGTGGAAAAAAAACAAAACAAAGAGGAGATGTATGGATGCAATTAGAGAGGACAGAGTGAGGTGGAGGACGCCTTGTTGTGGCGAAGTCGTCGAGAGAAGAAGGCAACAGGAGGGTTAAATGTGTTGAATGTAGTCAGAAGGTCAAGCATTTAAAATAGCTTTTTGGTTATCACAACATTTTATTCCCAAGAAACTAGTACAGCTGTCAGACAAATATAAACAAATTAGACATCTATGGTCTAACCAACTATTATGTCTGAGTCTGACACCCCTGAGTGTTGCTGCAGCCAAGAAATGGCTCAGAACAGTCGGTGTGCCACAGCCAGGGAGGTGGGTGGTGGGGTGTAGGTCCAGTGCAGCCTGCAGAGTTTACGTTGCACCTTCTGACCCGAATAACACCAAAAGTCTAAACTCTAAATAAAAAACAAAGAAGCTTGGCAAGTGTTCTTCTCCTTTTTTTAAACTCTCACTCGAATCTCCAAGCATGTTTGTGTTTTCCAATTAGCTGAAACCAGATGAAAACATCTGGTGGAGAACTGAACGGGTACGTCAGAGCAGAGAAGCTGCATAGTGGTCAACAAGTTTACGTACGCTAAAACTGCTCCGTCGTCACACAAAGTGTTTGTGGGTAAATGTAAATACTGTATTTTATGGGTTGCAGACTCCGAAAAAGCCTCTCAGCCAAGATCCCCGAGCCGATGGTCCCCTGAGAGGGGCGCTCGAGGTTGAAGGTGGTGCAACTCGTGGTGAAAAAGCTCAGAAAAACAACACACGTCGAACAGTCCGCGTGCACCGAGGACAGAGAGCCACGCAAACGCAAACATACACACAAACAGGCAGTAAAATAAACCCAAATGAGCTTCGTTACAGCCGACGGCCAGACAGCAGACTGTTTACACYGACGGAGAAAGAGAAAGCACTGAGCGTGGACCCAAAGGGAGACTGGCGCTGGAATGAGGCCACTTGTGGTCGTGGCATGTAGTAGTAGTAATGTGGACCTGGCAGGCGCTGGATGCAGAGGGTGGCTGCGGGGGTGGCAATGCCTCAGCCTGCCCGTGGCTGTGCCGTGGTTAACCAGTCTAGGTCACCTACACTTCCTCTGGCCTCTCTCACTGGGAGGAAAAACAGTCTAGTCAAAATAATGGTGTCATTTTGGCTTCTTACGTTTGAGTGCAGGGAAGGCAAATTTAGAAACAGCAAAGCAAAGGGAGGAGCGTGAAACGGTTTAGGAAACAAGTGAGCAAAATATCTGTTCTGTTTGTTTTTTTTCTCACAGCTCTTAAATAAACAGTGTTAAATGAGTGGCACTGCTCCAGTTTGGCCTGTAAATTCATATGTGTCAGCCTACGCAAGCAATTATAACTGGGCTCCTTCCGCTCCCCCTCCCTCCATATTTACCTCACACTGCCACACAAATCTGTTCCCACTGCTTCACTCCAGTTGATGTTTGACTACAACTTAGTTCCTGCCTGTCAGCACAACTGCTTTGCAAAGTTATGTGATAAGAAGAAGAAGAGTCATCTAAATCTGTGAAACCCGGTGGAGCAGGTCTTTCTAACGTCTGTGAGCTCAGCTGACTCACCTCACACGTCTCTGTGAATGAGCTGGACCTCAAGCTAAAAATACAAACATCAACAAAGCTGATGAGCTACTCATTCACACAGAAGTCCAAATACTCACAAATTGATTCTTTTCTGTTTTACTAACACTGCTTTTGTAACAGGCAGAGGTTTATTGAAATTTTCTCTTTTCAAAGCTACGGAAGGTTGTTTTTTTTATTGTCAACTTGACACCAAGGTTCTATTTTCACTGTCCGGTTGACTCTTCTCTTGTGTGCTGAATGAAAGTGTGCAGGATGGTAAGACACTGCCTGGCCAAAAAAAGGGGTCTTATACTCATATTTCATTGGATTGCCTTTAGTTTTGATTATGGCACACATTCACTGTGACCTTGTTTCAATAAGCCTCCAACCCCAGATCATGGCCCTGCCCCCACAGGCTTGTACAGTCGGCACCATGGGTGCATCCTTGAGGACGATGGGTCCCCACTATCCTTCCATTTTTTTAATAATGTGCTGAGCCGTTCTTAACGCATATTTGTAGTTTCCACAATTTCATTAGATCAGGAGTCTGCAACCTTCACAATCAAAAKAACCTTTTCTGCTACTTAGCTCACTAATAAAATGTGCCCAGAGCTGCATAATAAGCTACAACTGTGATTGTCAACTGATGGTCTGTGGGCCTTTTCCAGGCCTTTTCATGAAACTTTATGGCCAGTAGAGGTGACATTATAAAACTAAAAAATATATAGTGAATTTTATAATTTATTATTATTTTTACACTTCAGGACAAAAGAAAAAAATAACATGTTCATGCACAAGAAAAATATTGAATATAGTTTTTACTGAATTTCATAAAACATAGTACAACTGAACTATTCAGACATTTTTTTTATTATTAATACGTAGTCTTAAAAGTGTTTAAATGCAACCCTGATGCATATGAGAGAAAGATTTGATTATTTAAGTAAGCAACAGGCTAGCATGAATTAACATGTTTTACTTTTTGTATTAGTAGTATTGATCACATATTTGCACACAATTTATTTCTTTTGTGGGTATCAAAACAAACAAAAAAAAATCCTGTTATGTTTGGTCACATTTTCACAGAACCGCTGCAGAGGGACCAAAGAGCCGCATGTGGCCCCAGAGCCACAGGTTGCAGACCCCTGCCTTAGATATTTTCTCTGCTTGATGAATTGACCCTTCTCAAACAGACTATCTTCTCCAYGACCACAGRATGTGTCTTTGGACATGAGAAGCAACTCATTGCACCAGTTGGGATTAAATAACTTGTTGCCAGCTGATAGATAATCCCCCATGCAGTAATTATCCAATAGGAGGCTCATACCTATTTGCTTAGTTAAATCCAGGTGATGACTTTTTTTTGGTCAGGTAGTGTATTTGCCTATTTTCTCCCAAACGTGTAAAAGTCGCAGCCCAATTCAAAATAAATTTTTCTATAAAAGGCACCTGGAGTTCCTTTC